GGGCTCGGAGCCGGCCGGGGGGCGGCCGTCGGCGCGGAGCCGGCGGTCACGGGCGGGGAGAGCCGTCGGTCGAATCGAGCGGTGCCGCGGGATCGCGCCGTGATCGCCGTGACGCGCGGTCCTGGAGGTGGTGTAAAACACCCGTGTGCCGGCAGGTCCCGGGTCTGCCCCTGCCCGGGTATTCTCTGTGGTCGCCTCTGCCCCGGAGGCAGCGGCCGTCCCGCCCGGAGCCACGGTGCTCCAGCGCTCTCGAAGTGCCGGGAGCATCGGCACCGGGAGCGACTGCCCGGGTTCTTCACCCGAGTCCCTAATAGGTAGGAATAATTTTAGTGGTTTTAAGCATGTTTGGTGATTTCTACTTTATATCAGTCACTAGAGCGGTCAGAACCGTGAGTACACGGCAAGCCCAGTGTAAAGTGTAGGAGACAGCTTCCCAATTCTCTCTTTAATGCAGATACTTCATGGTATTATGGACCTGCTCCTGTATTAAACTTCTGATTTATCAGAAGTACATATATATCTATGTTCTCCATACGATGAGCTTCATTATAAACTCCACCAAAAGGGGAATTCGAGGAACAGTGGGCAGTATATATATATTTTAAAGAAACTCTGAAGGAGGAAGGAAAGAATGGATGAGTGTATTCCTTCCCTCATACTATAAGCTCTCATCTAAGGTATTTAATTCTTTGAATTCTTTACTTATTATTGCTCGAACACCTTCCCAAATTTCTTTATGCTTAATAAACTTATTTTCACTGTACATTTTCCACAGTAAATATCATCCCTATGCTATGTCTATTGTAAGCCCTTCGGTTTCAAAGAACAGATGTTGCTGGCCAGCTTGCTCTTGAATTGCTATGTCAATATCAAAAGGAGCTGAGAAATACCAGGATTTTGTGAGATTTGATCCCAAGTATTAATGAAAATACGCTTTACCAGCTAATTATTGTTTATTTCTTGCACATGCAGGATCTGGTGCTGTCAGTTTCAGCTTAGTGAATTTAGATGAATAATTTTAATCAAGTCATTATCTGATAACAATGTAAAATTGTTGGATGTGTAAATAAGCCTGAAAGATGCCTTTGAGGATGTCAGCTCCAGCCTCCTGCTGTGGCAGACATCACATAGACACTTTCCTGGCTAAACTCAATATCTTCCGAGAAGT